TCCTGCACCCACACCTACCATGGCAAGTGCATCGACCTGTGGCACTGCGCTCAGCCCGGGAGCAAGACGTGTCCCCTCTGCCTGCGCAGTGTGACCACGGTAGCACTGATCCCCCTCCACACACACATCAGTGAGCAGGAATAACCCAGGAAAGCTCATCCGAACTGCTCCCTGGAAAATCAAGCCCCCCCCCCCTCCCCCCCCCCACGCTCTCCTGCCGTCTTCCACCCCCTCCTTGCAACTCAAATTCCAGCCAATGCCTCTCGGGAAGCATAAACACAGCACTGGATTAAAAACATTCGGAAATGTGCGGGTAGGGAATAAAGACTGAAAGGACAAATGAAGTATTGAGCGCATATCCTTGGCTCTACCCAGTTTGGACGGACTTCAATCTAGAAGATTTGTGAGGTCCACAACCGCAGAACAGAAGCAGCAGCACACACTAGCTCTTGCCAAGCCTGTGGATGGCCTGACTTGAGGTTCCTCCTTCCACTCTGTTTCTGAAGCTCTCACTCCTAAAAGCCTGCACAAACAGGTTTATTCCAACGAAGGGGCCAATTACTGCAATTAACAGGTAACTTTTAGCACAAAGCCTAGGTTGATGAAATAAGCACTCTACATTCCTTTTTTTTTTTTTTTTTTTTCCAAGCATATAGTTTAAAAAGAACAAAAGGCTGCTAAATGGAGAGGATGTTTTTGCTTTATGTCCAAGATTTCCAGGGCATTTTGCCAAAAGTAGAAAAGGCAAGACGATATTGCCGGCACCAGTATCTAATAAAGATGATGTCTCCCTCCGTTGCAAGGCAAACAGCTGGAACTAGAATCCATTTCCAGACATGGGTACCAAGTTGCAATGGCCCAGATTTGCTCAACTGCCTTTTTTAATTGTGGGCATTAGCCGATTATGGGTACTTTTGTAGCAGGTCCATAAATCACTGCCTTATAATCTTCTGTGCGCATTAGGGCCCAGATTATCATGCTTGTACTAGGTAATAACACAGAGGAGAGATTGCCTGGACCCCTGGGAAATCCAGGAGAGACACCTGGCAGAGCACAGGAGCACACGATGCTGAGACACGTGTAGGGAATGGCGCACACAAGCAGGGCTTGCAGAGCTCCCACAAACCTGCTCTTCATTCCTCTCCCACTTCCCTTTTCACACAGAAGCAGCAAACAGCAAGGCACAAAAACTTTCCCCATACACGACTCCATTTCTCATCTACCTAACAACGTTTTGGGTGGTGACTCTGTTTCAGCTATCTATTCTGTAAAGACATGGGTCATCCTTTCCTTTGATCCTAGATGAAAGGAGGTGGTTACATGCACCAGTTTCTAAATCAGCTCCTAGCAAAAAAAAGAAAAAAAAAAAAATCATTAACAACAGGGTGCAGGTCTGCCTTCCAGCCAGCTTGCTGCTGAGCTGGGGACTTGCTCAGTCAGCAGGAGGGTGGAAGCGTGTCCCACATACCTTTCTTTAAAAAAAGAACTGGGAGCACTGGGAGCAGAAAGGTTTTCACTGGAAGGTCACTAGATGGCCCCAGATCTTCCTTCACAGCAAATCACTGGCATTTCACTCCGTGAGCCTGGTCCTCTCTAATCCTACAGTACGACCCCAGAGGAGCAGCATGCCCTGATAAGAAGGGCACCGAGCTAGAACCAGGGATACCTGCCAAGATGTCTTGAGCCCTGCATTTAACCCCACAATGGCTTTTTGTGCTCCTGGCCTTTGGCTGTTCAGGGCAGCAAGAGGCTGCTGTTGTGTGTCTGTGCAATGCCACTGCCTGTGGACCTGAGAGACTGACCTGATACAGATAAAGGACAAGAAGTCTGATTATGTACAAACTCACATCATAGCACTGCCAGGCTGCTCTTTTCATGCTGAAAAAAAAAAAAAAAAAAAAAAAAAACAACAAAAACCTAAAAACTCAGAGAAAAAAAAACTAGACTTATTCTCCAAGTTAAATCAATGCTGGATCAGGCACCTGTAATGAATCTTTTGTTGGAATTATAGTGATGTCCACATCGGTCAGTCTTCTTGGCATCTCTGTTACAGTGTAAGCTATTTGGGCAGGACAAGGGTTAGATTGTGCTAGCAGTTGTGTGGGGTCTAAATCAACACCAAATTCCTCTGGATTTAGCAGACCTTTTTTTCTGTAAAGTACAGCAAAAAAAAAAATAAAAAAAAGATGGTTTTAGGATCCCTAATTCCTGCATGAAGTCATAGCCCCAGAGAAGGGGCATAAAAGAACATGGGGACTTCAGGAGTGGTGGGGTAAGTGATGAGTTAATAGAGGTAAATGGTCTTTTCCTTTCTTCTAGCTTGGATCTTTGTTCAAGTGGTAAAATGGGACCCGTTCCCTGTAATTGCTCTGCTCTTGCACACAACTGCTGTCTCCCACGTGTGGCTTGTTGACATTTAAATAAATTGCAATTATTCTGACAAAGTAGATTGCAGGGACTCCAGAGAAAATGGGTCAAGAATACGTCCAGGAGCATCTGCAATGTATTTAACAGATGAATGTTAGAGGGGTAGGGCACAATGAGAAGGAGAGTTCAGTGCTGGCTATAATGAATGCAGCATGGGGCTGGAGAGGCCTTCAGGATAGCCTGGCACAGTCCCACACACGTGTGGGAAGCGCGGCTCAACCTCAGCCAGCAGGAGCCAAAGCCTCCAGGGCACTGGGGATGGAGGAGGCAGGCAGCAGAGATGCAAATAGACAGCACGGGGGGGAACTACAGAGAACAGGGCACCACTCTAGCCCTGGGATTGAAGACCATCTTGGCCTAAATTTTTCCAAAACCTTCCTCTCTAGAGCCTTCTCCATAACCTGTTCTCTTTATTGCTTTCCAGCCTCCTCTGTTCAAGAGATCTGTCCTTTTACCTACACCTCACTTTGGGATACTGCTAAGAGTTACTGTGATCCAGGCTGGACACTAACACCTGATTTCTCATTCTATCCAAGGGCTTGGTGAGGGAGCCAGGATGGTTTCTCATGCCTTGCTGATTCTCAGATATAAGACGTGGTGCTGCAGCAGCCAGAAGATAACAGTACACAGCCACAGCTGGAGATAGCACAGCACAGCATCTGCACAGAAAGCAACAGGAATCCTTCCTTGGTCCCACATCTGTCAGAGCTCAAGTACAGATGCATGGCTCCTCGTCCAGCCCCACAGACACACCTGCCCCTAAGTCAAGCAGCAGTGACCAGCAGTATGTAAAGCTTTGATCTGGAGGCAAAAATAGAGAGCTGAGTGCAGGTAAAGAAACGAGGATGATGGATGCCGTCACAAGGACCATAAGACCAAGCCAAAAATGAACCCTCAGAAAGTTCTCCTGGTGTGCCTCCATTTTCTTCATTTCATTGTGCTTCAGAGTCTTTGGCTTCAACCCCTCCCCAAACCTTTCCCTTGTTTTTAAATGCAACAAAATGTCTCCCTGTGAGTGTAAAACTCTTTAGATGAGGGGAAAATAAAATCAATTTGAAATCACAGCTGCTGGGAGTCTCTGGCACACACACACACTGTCTGCTGACATTTTCTGTAGCTCTTTTCCCAGTGAAATCTGTCTCAAGCAGAGCCCAAGGGGGCTAGTAACAAATCAGTTGCCTGGTACACAAGTGATTTTTTTTAAACTTTGGGTCCAACACAACTGCAATGGGAACCACAGAGCTACTCCCAAGTGGACTGTTAAACAAAAAGGGTTGTTTGTTAAAAGGTACAGGTTTTCAGGGATTTGTGGTTCAGAACTGACCCGGGTTCACTGCATATTCACTGCTAGTTTGCTCTGACAACCAGGAGAACTATTGCCTCCCCATCAGGCTCGTGGTCCTCTGGGCACTGAGCACTCACCATCAGAGGTGGGAATTGCCTGAAAGATGAGAGCTGCATTGTCACTCTGGGAGGAATGGACAACACTTGTCCTCATGCCTTCCAATCCCCTTTTCAGCTATTTCACCATAACTCGAATTTTAAATCTGTTTTTATAGCTAGAAGCTAAAGTCTTCCTTCAGTCATTTGATTCCTGCAGGTGAGATTTTGAAGTGAATAAGGTAAAAGCTCAAGCACAAGACAGCAGTCCTCCAGGCTCACCCACCCCAACAGGAGTCCTGTGAGCTTGGTCCCAGCACATCAGCCCCTTCTGCAAGTCTGGCTGCTCATCAGGTCCCTTGAAGGTGGATCCGCTCTCATAAAAGTTTGGCTAATGGCAGAGAGTGAGGCCACACAAACTTTCAACTTCTGCTAGCAGCAGTTTTTGACTGACAATTACTGATTGACTTTTTTTTTCCCATTTGAAATTAAAAAAAAAAAAAACCACACATACAAACTTCTACCCTAAGCAATTTATTTGGTTTGGTATTGGTTCAAAGATTATGATTTTCAGGAGAAAGAACATGTTCAGCAGACCAATTTGAACTGCCACATGCACCTCCGGCAGCAGATGGTGGCCAAGACTAACAGCTCGCTCCCACTCTGTTGGGTTTTCCAGAAACTGCTTTGACCACCAGCACAAAGCATTCCAGTCTGCAATGGGCACAGTGTTGGTGGGGAGGCTCATTCATCCTGCCTGCATATCAACCAGATGAGAGAAACCAGCATCCTATCGGTACCCAGAGGGAGACAAAATTAGAAGCCACACGCATGGAGCAGACCAAAAATGAAGGGAAAGAGTGATTTAAGCACGTTGGCAGTAATGCCACATCTCCCCTCTATGGAACACAGCGACCAGGGATGTCACAGACCTGCAGATATGATGTCAGGGTGTTGCTTAGCAGCTGGAGACAACAAAATAGGGAAGAGTTGTATCCTGGGAACCTCCAATCTAAGGAGAACCTGCAGAAACCTCTAGAGCAGGAACTGTTTCATCTTCACCCTGCTGTGGCTCCAAGTCATGGCACAGTGGTAACAGCCAACGGGGATAAGTCTTCTGTGAGTGTCTCTTTCAATCTTCCTTTGGGACCAGCCTGGAAATCTGTTTTCAGAGCTACCCAACTGCATTCAATATGAGTCTTTGGCTCCGTCTCCTTTACTTTGTGGCTGCTACCTTCTTCCGCAAGGTTGCCGTTGCAGAAGCCTTTGGCCACGTGGCTTACAACGACAGCTCCAAGTGCGTTGTGTACAAAGCCCTGCCCGCATGCTTCGGGCCACAGCTCCCAGCAGAAGGGCTGGCAGGGTACCTGATGAGGGCGATACCACCAAATGCTTGCCACGCCATAGAGAATCCCCCAGCGCCGAGGAAGGCCTCGGAGAAATACATCGCGCTCATCCAAGGGTGCGGCTGCTCCTTTGCTGAGAAGGTCCTTCACGCCCAGCAGGCTGGCTACCAAGCTGCTGTTGTGTACAACGTGGATTCAGAGCAGCTGATCACCATGACGTCTGATGACAAAGAAATCCAGCAGCAGATTGAAATACCATCACTCTTCACCGGAGAATCCGTCTCCCTTCACATGGAAAAGGCCTTGCAATGTGAGAAAGGGGTGTACATCAGACTTCTACCACCCAAATACTATTTCGCTCCTTATCAAGACAATGCTAAGATGCTGCAGGACACTCACATCATGCGGGACATATTCTACATCACTATTGCCATTATCTCAATTGTGGTTGGCATAAGGTGGTGCAAGAAGGCTCGTAAGACCAAGCTGTATACGTACAAGCGAGGAGACAAGCACGACAGCTGTGTGATCTGCATGTCAGACTACAAGGAAGGGGACCTCCTGAAGATCCTGTCCTGTTCCCACGCTTACCACTGCAGCTGCATTGACACCTGGCTCCACACCCAGACCGGGAAGAAGACATGTCCCTTCTGCAAGCAGCCTGTGAACACCCATGGGCAGGGTGAGCTCCTGCTAGAACAGGCTCACGAGGATGTGAATGAGGAGGAAGAGGAGGAGGAGCAGGGCCAAGAATACGATGCATTCAGAGAAGAGTATGAAGATGAGTATGGAGACGGGGAGCAAGATACCTCAAGCTCGGTGGAAGGGGAGGGCTTTGATTTGCTGGAGAACAGTGCCATTTGAGCTGTGAGTTGCATAAGTTATCATTAAACCAAGAAAAACTTCCCCCGTACTTTCCCTCAATTCCTGCTCCAGGCTAGTTTTACTGGGAAGCAAGCACTGAACACTGCAGTTTTGACTCCCTTCCCCTGGTCCCCCCACCACAACAAGGCATAAAATCCCAGCTGGAAATATCAAAAATTCCTTAAGCCAGGGCAACAGGGGAGAAGCAGGGATTTAAGAACATTAATCAGTGAAAAAACAGGGAATTAAGAACATTAGGTATAGGAGCTGGTTTGTCTGCTAGAAGCTTCCTCAATTCCCTTCCAAAATACCTGTGCACGGATACACAAGCACACACACACTGAATCTTGCTTTGCTGTGTTGCCCAAAAATCCCAGGTGAGACCCATCCCATGGATAGCAGCCAGCAGGAACCTCTTCCTAGCCTGTCAAGCCACAGTACAGAGAGTTAAAAATAAAGCAGGGTACTAAGGCATAAAGCATTTCCCTTCCCATTAGGGGTAAAACAAGGCGTGCAAGCCCCCAGCACCTCCTTGTGACCCCCATGCGTCCGGTGTCTCAGCACAGCCCACCGCAGAGGGCAGCCTGGCCTTTAACCACACAGGTAGAAAAACCGCTCCAGAAATATTGAGGGCACTTTAAACACCATCTCCTCAGCCGGGAGGTGATGCCAGCGGGAGGTAGAGGTCTTTACAGCAGGATTCACTTAGTGGAGCTGGGTAGATGGAAAAAGAATGAAATGCTTCTGAGCGTGGCGTAATTGGCTGCGTTTGCCTGGTGGCTGGCAATCTCACACGCTCGCAGAGGCTGACGTGACAGGTACATGCAACCTCCTGCTACCTAGGTTGTTCCAGATCATTATCCAAATGTGCCTAAGCACCTTAAGGGTTGCTGGATTTATGTACCAACATGATGCAAACAGATCTTCGTCTCTTCTCCAGATACACCAGGTACGGTTGTATTATTTAGGCAGTCTGAATACTTTCCCAATCCTGCTTTTAAAGCGTGAGCAGAAATCAGCACTGGCTCCCCAGGCTGGTACGGGTGGCTCTAACACCCACTGTGGATGGGGCAGCCAGCCAAGTCCCAAACTGCATATGGGGATACAGAGCTGGAAACGCTCACAAAACCAATATTAGCATTTAATCTCGTGTAAAAGAAAGCCGTAAAACCTCTTTACTAAATGCCAAAAATTAAGGAAGTGAACAGCTCTAACATACTGTGACCAAGACATCAAACCTTCACAGCTGTACAAAGGCTAACCTCCCAAATCAAAGGCTCTCCTCTAAACATAAAACAGTTACAGCAGTACCCAGAAGTGTGCTGTCATCAGATCTCTCTATTAGGACCATGCAACAACAACACAACTAGGGCCAGCAAACAATCCTACAGCCTTGAAGTATTTTCCTTTTGAGTGGCTACGTTAAGACTCAGAAGACCAGGATTTAGAAAAAGACTGTCAGGAAAAAATCATGCTGCAGAACTGAGAAGCATGATCTCCGCAATACAGAAATATTGGAGACTTGAAAATAGCACTGAGATTACTTACCTTGCAAGTATACACACTGTATTTGTGTTAGAAAGGGCTGGGAGAAATATGTGAATACATGGGACTTCCAGAGACAAGCTGGACCTGGATCTATCACTCCTGCCCTGCGGAAACCAGGATGGCTTCAGGTGGGATCAAAAGAGGAAACTGCAGTTTCCGAATTTCTTCTGCAGTGGAGAAGTTCCAAACCAATTTCTCCTGGAATGAAACATGACAGCGTTTCCAAGGACTTGACAGAAACAAGTCTTTCTGCAAGTCTTCTGACTGAGCTGTTTCGTTTCATTTGTGGAACAAATGGGGAAAAATGATTTTCGAGTCACTTCACAAGAAAACTGCCCTCCTCTGCAAGGTGTGCAGCCTCCTGGGAGCCACAAATCACTTCCAGTGCTGAACAAGCCCCCTCAGGGTGCCTGAGGAAGCAAAGGCAGTCGTCTCCATCTGGGGAAGGAGACTGGTCCTTCAGAGGGTGATTAGCAGCAGGAAGTTCATTTAGGTGCCTTTAATTGCCTTCTGGAGGTAACTCTCCTGTCAGCAGCTCTGAAAGAGCCAGGACTGGCTTTGCTGGGCTGCACAAACGTCTTCATCCACTCCTCAGCACCTGGAGCTGACCTCAAAGCTCGCTGGGTCTGCAGGCCCTGGGGAGGTAGCTGGCCCCAGGACCCTAAAGGGAAGGAATAAACAGAAATACGTCAGCAGCACTCCCAGCTCCTGTCTCAGCACACTCACTGCCCTCGTTCTCCCTCAGCTGAGGTCTGAAAAAGCCCAGACGCTGCAGACAGGCAGGGAGAGGCTGAAGAGGTATTTTCAACCTCCTGGTGGTACGATGGGCCGAAACAGGCTGCTGTCTCCCCCGGCAATGGTCTCACATGTGATGGGTGAAGAAATGATTGAGCAAGACCCCTGGGCCAGACCTTGAGATGGTTTTAGGTAGTCCCACGAGTGTCACCCAGCTGCAGGGTGCTGGGCTCAGGAGGAGAATCTCTGGGGGGAAATTCTCCGGGCTGTAATATGCATGAGGGGAGATGAGCTGATCGTAGTGCCCTTAATATCTATCAGTTCCTTTCCACCTTCAAAGCAGCACATGCACTAGAGGGGGTGAATTTTACTGAAATGGGTCAGTAGAAAAATAGATCCTTCTTACAACGGAACGCTGCAATGCCTTAATTTAAAAAGGAGAGGAAAAAAAAAAAAAAAAAAGAACGGGATCTGGGTAAGAGAGCAGCTCTTCAGTCCATTTAATGTTATCAAAGCCTATCACACTGAAAATCTGAAGTGTGTGCCATAGCAAACCTGACCTCCAGCCCTCCAGCTGTCAGATCCACTGCCCTCCATCAGCGTTAATGGCACTCCTAACACAACGAGGTTAGCTTATTGCCAGGGTGGGACACGCAGCCCTTGGAGCCTGAATGAGGATTATTAACTTCTCTGGAGGTAGCACTGTCCCAGAGTGGAAAATAAACTACCACAGACAGTGCACCAGAGGGAAAAGGAGGACGAAGGGTCTGGGGCGTGCTGGGGCAGAGCGTTTGACCACGCAGACGTTGATGGAGCATCCTACAGCAGCACAGGGACGGGGCTGGCCCCACACAACCGTGCTGCTGGTGACTGGGATTCGGGAAAGGAGGAAAAGTGCAGGGGATGAGGTCTGGAAAAGGCCATGCTGGGAGGTGGCACAGGCAGATCTTACAGGCAGTGTGTTAAATTGCCTCTGAATCACACTGAGGCAAAGGATGAAAAGAGAGCAGCTGCTGGGAAAAGGGACCCCAGTTTGTGTGTCCCAGAGCTCAAAAAAAGGGGGAATTGTACAAGCAGAGATGCCAACTCATGCCAGAAAAGGCTACCTAGAAAAAGTTTGGACAAACCCAATGCAGAAAAAAAGGAGGGTGAGGGGGAAGGGGAATGCAATCTCATGGATCCAGCCAGGAACAGCTCAGAGAAGCAGCCAAAACCCCGATGAACCCACCAGAAGCCCAAACGAGAAGAGCTGAGGATGATCCAACACGGATGGTTTTGATCGGAACACCAGTGCTGGCTGGAGCACTGGTACAACTAGCACCCAAACATTGTGCTTAGAGGATTTGCCAGGAGCCCCCCTTTTTATCAAGCTTCTGCCCCCATAATCCGAGCTCCACTGCACTCACTCTATTAAGCAATAACCAGGTTCCAGCACAGCCTCAGCAAATGATTGAGATCTCATTTATCAGGGGGGTCTTTGCAGTTTCTTGCACATTTTATTGCTGGCTTTTTTTTTTTTTTTTTTGGTGTGCGCACAACATGGTTCAGTGTATTGCTGGGAGAGTCACCAGACTGTGACCCGGAGGGAAGCAGCTGATGACCCAGCACTGGGAACTATTGACTTTGCCACCAGAACATCGATGCTATAGATCACAGGGAGCAATTAGGGTGGCTGATTACCCCGTGTGCAGCCCATGGGCAACCGTCCAGTGGAGACATTTTCCCCATGCTGAGAGCCAGCACTAAGCCTTGACAACAGCATTTAAAGAACTGCTTTGAGGGTTTAAGTGAGATTTGAGTGATCTATAGATCCTGTGCAGGCCAAAGGTAGGAATTTCAACCTTGAAGACTCAAGTTTAATACCTACTGTAATTAAAAGGAGAGCGCCAACTTCCCTGCGGCACAGCCCAATTGACATCAATAGCATTACAGCAGCAGAGAGCCTTACCTTTGATCTCCAAAATCCATCTGGGGAGGAGATGAAGGACAGGATGTGCTTGCCCACAGGGCCAGGAGTTTCTGCTACCCAAGGCTGACATGCATGGAAGCTTTCCCTCCTTCCTCGGGCCACACTGCCCACCTCCTGCACCATCCTATTTCTTCTTGCAAGGTCAGCACTACTCAGCCTGAGCCACCTTTTCACCAAAAGGCCCTTCCTTACAGATGTTCACCAGCCCTTCAGCCTGGCATTCGGGCCTCCAGCTCCCTCGCAGCAGGGATGGGGGCTGGCTCTGAGGTTTCTCTGTGAGGAGCAGTGGGCTTTGTGGAGCTTCAGGCACAAACAGCTTCTCTACCCAACTCCCTGTTCTTCTCAAAACATCTTCAGCATACAGGGACATACAATTGGCCCTTTATAGCCCTTAGGACCTAAGAGCTATGAAGAATTCCCAGTCCTTTGCTTTTCTGCTTTCATCCAACCTCCATTTCTCTGCCTCTTGCTTTTCCAGAAGTTTTCCCACCCCCAGGCTCTGAAACGCACTTCTCCCTTCCACCAACCCATCTCCTTTCTGCTCTTGTTCTTATTCCCTTCTGCCTCTTCCTCATGCCCTGTGGTGCTCCCTTCTCTCTCCTGCTTGCAGAAAACTTCATATGTGCCTTAAAAAAAAAATCAGGTTACCCTGAGGTGTCTTTGCATGCAGGAAGCCTGGTACAGCTAAGCCAGGAATCCAGCTCTCCGGGGTAATCTGCAGAGTACGGCTGGTTATTAGTCACTACAG